ATTGAGATTTTTATGGGGATGGCATTAAATCTGTATATTGCTTTTGGCAGGATGGCCATTTTGATGATGTTAATTTTCCCAATCCATGAGCAGGGGATGTCTTTCCATTTCATGGTGTCTTCCTGTATTTCTTTTAACAGTGTTTTGTAATTTTCTTTGTAAAGGTCTTTTACCAACTTAGATGTTTTTTTAACGTATGAACCACCTCACTTAGTCATCTTTTCATTTTAGATTCAGAAACATGGGAGAGGCTGTTCAAAAGGGAGTAATTTTTAGGTATTTTGTATATTCATAACCATGTCATAGAAGTAGTCAACTATTTTATTTAAATCTACACAATGCAGTAGGTAAATTGGTTGATAATTGATAAATTTAGAATATACTTTGTAAAACAACAGTTTTATGGTAAATGGATAGCCATACACAAAAATTAAAACTTAATTTTTTATTGACCAGACTTGGTTGTTTAGAACTTTTATTCTCTCTTTCTCTCTCTCTCCCCCTCTCTCTATAAATATATTTAGAAAGTAATACAATATAGTTGCTAAAAATATTTGATGAGAGTATTTTGCTTTTTCACTATTATTTGTGAGATTGTCTAGTTTCTAAATTATGTCTTACGAACCACAAAATTTTAATGAAAAGTAGCCTTCTTGGGAATGTTTTTTAATTTAAAAATCTGTAATGATTATCTGTGAATCATTCTAGAGAAATTATGTAAGTCATTATAATTTAGAATTCATATAAGAATATGTTGATTGTTAGATAATTATAGGGTGTGCTTTTCTTCAGTAATAGTAATTGTAATTGTCCCTGTAGACTGGAAGTATGGTCAGATTCATTGTATATGTATATACTACATAGCACAATCACCATCATACTCATATAAAAGATGTAGTAATCATAGAACTTCTGGAAATGAAGAGTAGAGATTCCCCTTCAAATTTTTAGAAACCCCTAGAGTTTGAGGATTTTAAAAATGTAAATAAATTAAAATACTTTCTGTTAAATTGATAATTTGGTTATTCCTAAAGTATTCTCACTGGGGCTTTACTTCCAGCAATAACTGATAATGGTCTATTTCTGCACTTACAGGAAGATGTTTCATTACATGGATATAAAAAATATTTGCTGTCACAGTCTTCCCCTGCCCCGTTGACTGCAGCTGAGGAAGAATTACGACAGATTAAAATTAATGAGGTAATAACAATTTTGAAACCCTTGCAAGATTTTATGCGTTTGAAAATACATTTTTAAATTACTAGATATGGACGTTCTAGGGTATATGTAGGTTAGGGGGCTTGTATATTTTCTGTTTACTTCAGAGACAAGGCTATTTGCTTTAAAACTTTTCAGGGAAAAAAAGGTAAAGATAAACATTAAACTTTGTGTCAGCTTTATAAATGATTGTCTCTTACCTTTATAACATATGTGAAAGAGTTCTAAATCTTCCTGTTGGATGTATAACTTTTAAAATTTTGTACTTTAAGTAAGTAAATGGGAAAAAAAAGTGTTATCATTTAATGAAAAGAATATTGCTTCAAGCAGATTTGTATGATTTCTGTGATTTCAGAGAATAGTAATGACAAAAAAAAGAATACAATATAAATGCTCTACAACATTTAGATTTATGAAAACTCTATATGTTAACTTCTGTGACCACTATTTAGCTGGGTATGTGCATATATATTTATGTATATGTACCTACATATATAATACATATGGGGATTGCTGTATATCTTGTTTAGCATTTTAGAGTCAATAAATATTCATATTATAATTTGTTATTTTTAATGTGATTCCTGCAGCTGTTCTGCTTATAGATCAGCATAATAACTACTGTATTTCTACTGGGATTTTATGGAAAGGACAAGAACAGAAATTACTATTCACTTGTCCGAGACCTAATAGAAATTATTCTACAAAGAGATTGATTATTATTTAATATTAACCTGATAGCAAGGGTCTACCTTTCTGTTATTTTAATTCAGGTTGTTTGAGTAGGGGTTTTTATGTGATTTTTTTTTTTAACAAGTTTGATAGTTTGTTTTATTCCTTGCAATCAGAACCCAGAGGATCGTATTGGGGTATGCATCTGCATATGTTCTATGATGTTTTCATTATCCAGTATCATTTTTGCTGTAGAATCTCCATTCATTTTTTTTTTTTAAGTAAAATTTCTATTTAAATTTGTTGCAGCACTGCCAATGAGACCCTATACTAGCTCTCATTTACCAAGTATGAGTCTTAAACATGTGCATTGAAAGCTTTCTTGAAATACTCTTCTCTTCAAATACATGCACCGCACACCTGTGTTCTTAGTAAAGAAAGCTCTCAGTTTGGAACTCCTGTAGTAGTAGAACTTGTTTAGCTGTGTCATGTCTTTGTATACTGTTTGTGCTCCTTTCAGTTCAGTGCATGGTGTTTGTGTTGCATTCTGTGTCTAACAGAGCAAAGTTATATACATGTCGTCTGCATATTACCCCATTCATAAACTTTATCAATTAAAATTTTGTAATAAAGGTATAATCAGAAGACACTTCAGAGAACTTGAGTAACTCGTTGTTGTGCCAAACCAAACTTAGAAACCGACAGGACTCCCAGAGCACCACTAACTTTACACATTCAAATGTTCACTTCCAGCATTTCCATAAAGACTATCATATACTCTGCATGTAAAAAGTGCTAACAGGACATGAACAAATGTGGAAAAGTTTTCATTTCTTAAGTTCATAATGGTTTAAAAGTGTGAATTATCTTAAAGTGGGAAAGGATGGAATGATACTTAACAGAAGTTGGGTCTTCTTTGCCATATGACACTTGAATTCTGTAACTTCATGGTTAATTCAATCTGTCACACCTAGGTGCAGACAGACGTGAGTGTGGACACTAAGCATCAAACACTACAAGGAGTGGCATTTCCTATTTCTCGAGAAGCTTTCCAGGCTTTGGAAAAATTGAATAACAAACAGCTCAACTATGTGCAATTGGTAAGAGACATAATTATTTAGTGAAATGGCTTCATTCTGGTGGCTTTTGGCTTATAGAGGTTTTTTTTGATAGATTAAAATTTTTTAATTTGCTTCCTGGTTATTTTCTAACTTTTAAGTTTTCTCACATAGTTGTTCATTTTGTACAATATTTGATTTATCTGTTCATATATAGCCCCCACAGTTCTCCCAGTATTTTTTTTTTTGACTCTCTAAAAGCAGTATATGTTCTTTGTGAAAAAGGCAAGCTGGTATGTTTCTTCTTCCAGGTTTTTCACTATCAAATTTTAAATTTTTATGTATGTGTTTTATTGAACTTATTTTACTTCTTATTAACAGGAAATAGATATAAAAAATGAAATTATAATTTTGGCTAACACAGCAAACACAGAACTAAAAGATTTGCCAAAGAGGATTCCCAAGGATTCAGCACGATACCATTTCTTCCTGTATAAACATTCCCATGAAGGAGACTATTTGGAGTCCATAGGTAATATGATACATTGTTTTTAACATGGTATTTTCGTTTCCTTAGTGATGTATTCTTACTTCTTGCCTTCATGATTTAGTTGCAGTTTATGAAGTTTAGTAGTTGCTTTGATTACTACCTATTCATTGTTATCTTACAGTTTTTATCTACTCAATGCCTGGCTATACCTGCAGTATAAGAGAACGGATGCTCTATTCCAGCTGCAAAAGCCCTCTGCTGGAAATTGTAGAAAGACAACTCCAGATGGATGTAATTAGAAAGGTAATTTCCTACTTATTTTTTTATTTCTCTAATATCTAGCCTTTTATGTTTCAGTTTTTGTTACAATTTTAATCTTTTCCATGTCATTTATGATGTGTCGTGCGTGATGAGTATTTTTTGTTCTCATCATAAAGCCTTAGGATCTTTTCCTCTCAAGTGCTTGATGATGGCCTATTATGACACACTCTCTATAGAAGTGTACTCTCCAGTATACTGATAGCCACAAACTACATGTGGCTATTTAAATTTAAATATAAATTGACAAGTAAAATCTAAAATTCTGCTTCTTACTCACACTGGCCACATGTCAAATGTACATTAGTTGTACGTGGCTTTTGGCCACTGTACTGGACAGTGCAGGACTTAGGTTGTGTGTCCATATTGCAGAGTGACCTGCCTATGAGTGCCTCAAGACACTTAGTAAGGAACTGTCATCTGCACTAACAATCGTAAATCATGAATGGTTGATGAGTTTTCCAGCTGCTGGGGAAGAAGGAAATGGGCATAGATTTTGGGAACTACTAAACTACCAGTTTTCTTAAATTTATTTTGCTAAATGTAGATGAAGTATAGGAAAAGAGAGGTTTATTCTTAAGCCTGTTAACTCTTAATACACAAGTCCTTGCCAATTACCAGTGCTTTATTCTCTTCAGGGATAATGCTTTTTTAAAGAAGGTAGTTCTTAGGAATCATCTTTAATAGCAGGGACTGATTGAATTTTTCAATAAGAAGACCTAGAGAGTAAATATTTTAGGCTTTGCCAGGCCACATGTAGTCAGTCATATATTCTTTGTTTTGTTGTTTCTTTTATACACTCATTTAAAAATGTAAATCATGGGCCCTCCGTGATGGTGAAGCAGGTTAAAGCACAGCAGTAAGAAGCTAAAGCTACTTCAGCATGAGTTTGATCCCTGCCCCGGAGGTGATCCACATGGCTAGGTAGTCCTCCCCTGATCTGCCCACTGCTCCTACTCAGCAGTGTACTTCGTCAGTCAGCCTGTACTGCTCCCCACTCTGTCTCTGGTGAAT